CAGATCTAACATTGTAATGAAAAATGCACTTATAAAAAATGAAAAGTCATAATGAGACTTTTTTTTTTTAACCAGCTTGCAGATCACAATATGAAGTCTGCTGACTTTATGGTTCAAACTGGTGCTTCTCAAACGTTGTAAAACGCAGGTTGCTAAAATAAAGGTTGGTTCAGTAGGCCTGGGGAGGGGTTTGATATTCTGCACATCTAACAAGTTCCCGGGTGATGCTGAATGGCTGTCTTTAGTTCTGTCTCCATGTGGACCATGGGACCAGGTGAGTCACATCTTCCTGCACCTGACTTTGTCCTTGTGTTCGTCTTCTGTCGTTTCACAGAAATGGAGTGAGAATCAATGACTTGACACACACACAGAATGACTGACATGTTTGTGCTCCGCATCAACATATCTTGTGTTTCGCACGTTTCCTGTTTTTAACCAATCATCCATTCTGGGTATAAATTAACCGTAAAGGATTATGATTAAAGACAATTTAAATTGTGCAACGATCAGACTGCTGTGGCTGGGCGATGGCGGGCGATAGTGGCTATGGAGCAAGTGAGTCATGCTCCGGCTTCTGAGCATCGTGGAGTCTGGCTGCTGGGTGTGCATCTTTCACCCAACACACAGTCGGTTTTAGAGATACTTACAAATATTTTTAAATAGTCATTAATTTTAAAAGTCGACATTGAAATACGCACTGTTGCTGCTTGTAATGATGGGCCTAGAACACCTTTGTTAATCTCTGGGGCTTTGTAAGCCTTGAGAGGAAATCAGAGACTAGTGATTCTTAACTGTTTTGGGTTGTGGGCTCTTTTAAGAATCTGATAAAAGCCATGGACAGTCTCACAAGTAAATGTTCACATGTACATTACACACGAAATCTGTTTCAGGGGTTGGTTTCTCAGATCCTGGTAACCAAATTCTGACCCTTGACCACCCCGTTTTCAAACCATCTTAAATACAATACTTCTGATTACTTTCCCTGAAGTTTAGCTCTGACAATGCTTCTTTCCTGCTCAGGTTTCCTCAATAGCTCCCCATTACTCAGAGTACTTTTTCCCTAAGTGTGGTTTGTGGCCCTCCCATAGGAATTGGCTGATGCTAGCTAAAAACACTGGTTTCTAGGCCCCATATCAGAGTTTCTGTACCAGATTCCCTGGCTCTAACGCCAGGGCTATGTCCTGGAGTTTGTAGGCCAGGCATTCTAGTGTGAGGCTCTATCACACTTCATACCAAATGAGTGGCATGCATCCACAGACCAGAAGATAGAGTTTTGTAACATTTTTGAAAAGATGTTTATAAATTTTACAAATCTATCTTTTGTTAAAATAATGTTCTTGCCCTGGCTGGGTGGCTCAGTTGGTTGGAGCTACGCCTCATGTGTCAAGGGGTTCTGGGTTCGATTTCTGGTCAGGGCACATACCTGGGTTTCGGGTTCGATCCCTGGTCGGGGTGGTATGGGAAACAGCCAATTGATGTTTCTCTTTCACACTGTTTCTCTTTCTCACCCTTCCTATTGCTCTAAAAATCAATAAAAACATATCCTTGGGTGAGGATTAAAAAAAAAAAAAAGTTCTTTCTCTAGAACTTTGATTACATTTACATACAGTCGTGTAAGAATCATATTGCAGTTTTTGCCAATGTTAATCCTCTGTAGTACTAAACGGTTATTCATTCTGATTTTGCAGTTGTTGGGCCAAATTTTAGAGATGATGCATTTCTTTTCAGTTTAGACATTTTTGCAGGCCCTTGAAAAACAGGTGAGACTGGGCCATTGTTCAGCTGACACCCAGGAGAGCAGAACTGTTCTGGGTGGGATCCACAATCTGAATTTTTAACAAGCTCCCCAAGAACAGTGCGTTTTATAAATATTTGAATTAGGATTTAAGAGTGCAAGAATTTTTCTTTTTTTAATATGTCTTTATTGATTTCAGAGAGAGGAAGGGAGAGGGAGAGAGAGATAGAAACATCAGTGATGAGAGAGTCATTGATCAGCTGCCTCCTGCCCCCCCCCCCCCCACTGGGGATTGAGCCC